GACTTGCTTTAGGCTCAGAGAACCTTCTGGAATAATTTTCTCATGACTTTCTGTATTTAGAACACCAATAATCAAAGCCGTTTGTTTCTTTAGACCAGGGGGTCTTCAACGCTTTTCAGTCTGGGACCCCCAAACTGATAGAGAGACAAAGCAAGGACCCATATAGACATCAGTTGATTGTTATCATTAGGAGCTGCAGTGTTGCAGAGATATTGCAAACAATTACAGCACTAATAGGCCAATTTGTGTGAAGAATTCATGGATTGTCAGGCTGAGTGAAGCTGGTGTTCTCATTGAATGTGTGCATTTCTGACTGAAATACATCGTTGAATGTCTCAGTTTGTCAATTTGCCACATGTTGGATTCATGGTCATGTGTATATAAGTGGGGGGGCGGTATTATGGATTTTCCAGACACATGGTTCAATTCTATACTACAATCAAAAACTGTTTTACCTTCAGTTGTAATGAAAATGTTGTATACATCAATAAATTTGACTTTGCATCATAGCATGACTAAAAGCCTTGAAAATGGCCTCTATCTCTTTAGGAACCTCCTACTGTTTCAGACACTCCCACTTCTGCACATTTTCACAATATTGCTTCAGGGAAGGAGTGCTTTGTCGGATGAGGGCTCGGCTGTCAACTAAGCTCCAGGGAGGAGCTTTGTACAAATAGGCGGAGCTTTTTACCAGCAAGCACAAGAGATTCAATAATTTTTCAAACATGCATGAATGAGTCAAAGCAGGATTTTGGTGTATGAATGACCTGATATAAAGCTCAAAAAAGTTAATTTTGCATAATACCCCCTCCYCCAAAATCTTAACTTTGAAAAAAAATGTATAAATGTATATTTTATTTAAATTTTGCGACCCATTACAGTACCTCCCCCCATAGTTGAAGACCTCTGTTTGAGACCAGCAATCTCAGCCTGTCACTGAAACTCAAAAGACAGGTCGAAACATTTGCATGTCTGTGCGTCTATTGGCAAAATATTRTATGTATCACTGTACAGACATTAGTAAACCTTTGAGAAAATATCCAAAYGATGTACCTATACAGGTGTTTAACTTTTCATCTATTCAAGATGGATTCACTATTGCGTGAAGATTTTCTTAAAATTTTAGCCATAACCATTATAGTCAGCWTTGTTTGTCTGGTAGAAAATATCATAKGAACCACTGGACAGRTTGCATCTACAACTGATTAAATATTAAAGTTTTACTCACWCAGGATGCCCTCGCTGACACAACCACCAACCACCGAGTTACCACAACCCACATGTGTGAAGCAGAGAGCTGCCATCTAAAGTTGCCGAGCAGCTGTGGGGGGCTTTAAAAGCCTTGCTCAAGGGCCCACCATGGGGTAAATGAGGTTGGAGGCAGATGTGGATGTTTTAGTGTTACAGATATTGAGCTAAAATTTAAGKTGGTCATAGCTGAGCGTCAGTCRCAGCACRTTATCTAAGCATGATATYTCACAACATGGCGTCAGACAAAACAGCTACAGCAACATCTCATTTAGTCAAAACTTTGACATGAAATGCATTGGGTGACATACACATCTTTAAGGAATGCTAAGTCTTTAACTTGTATTATTTCTGCACACCCCAGATAGTTATTTTTAAAAAGTTACTTGCTTTGGCTGCAGACATTTTCCAGACAGTTGTCTGTGGTGAGAATCAACTCCAGCCACTGACTCCAGACTAATGCTAAGGTCAACTGACAGTGATTGCTGGATAAATTGAGCTTCAGAGCTAGATAAATAATTGGAAAGGAACCCTTTTAGATCAATGCAGGCAGGGTGTTTTTTTGTCTGGGACAGATTTGTGTGGGGGGGGAGGGGATTAAACATTGACACGTTGGATGAGCTGCTAAGTGAATTAGTTAAAATTATACAATGTACTTAACACCCGGCAGATGACTGACATCCCAGCTGAAACAATTACCGTAGGGACCGAGTGATGCCACATCTCGGTCAGGATCAGAGAATAAGACGTCTAAGCCAGAGTTGTAGCAACGTGCTGTCAACACTGCTGCTGAACACAAACTCAGGCGTTCAGTAAACAGCAGAAAGATGCTGCAAACTGTCTCGTCTGCGCATTTTTAATGCACCCTCCATGTGCTTATGTAGAATTTAAGGCTTAGTGTTAGACTTCTTCCAAGCACAGACTTTCAGATTATTTATGCTAGCTCTCGTTTTTCTTACTGTTTTTTTTTTTTTATCTTTTTCTCAGATGGACCCGGTGCAGAAGGCTGTGATCAACCACACCTTCGGAGTTCCACTGGTCAAGACAAAGCGGCCGATTATCTCTTGTAACGTCTGCCAGATTCGCTTCAACTCAGAGGTAGAGACAATCAAGCATACACCACACATAAAATCATCTTCTCATCTTATTAATTGTAGTAAAATATAAGATTGGGATCTTTATCACTCCTTGTTATCAGGTTTTGGACTTTGCTTGTGTGGCCCAAAAAAAAGACATCATTATTGTTAATAAAACAACTACATGTTCCCAATTTAGAGTCTATTATTCTATTGTTAAACATAWTGAAAATATGGTATTATACTGAACATATTAAATAATGTTGGTTTGGACCTGGAGTCTTTCTGTGAAGAGTTTGCATGTGCTCCTCATGCCTGCGTGGGTTTTTATCCTGGTCCAAAAACATGCATGTTAGGCTGCCTTCAGGCCCACGCATCTCTTGCAAAACAGATCCGGGATCTCAATGGGATTTTCCTGGGTAAAATAAACAATTATTCACAAGTAGAAATAAGAGAATTTCCATCCAAGACAACATCCCAGCATGTTCAGCCAAAGGTTATGTTGTGCAACAAGGGATATTGTGTAACCCAAGACCCACGTCTGAGACACTATACAGGCCTCAGTTAGCATGTCTGTTGTTWAAATGCATGGCGGTTCAGAGGGTTTGCCAGGAAAAACCTTATTCTATCCCAAAAGGACATGGTTCCATGTTTTGAGGTTTGGATTTGAACGARCCAGAAGATTTCTGTTGGGCCACAGTGCACAACACCATGTGTGGTGACGACCAAACACAGCATGATAGCACAAGAATCTCAGGTGTTGCAGGGCTCAGTGGTGGAGGGCTCATGATCTGGGCTTGTTTGGTAGCCACAAGAACAGATCAATTCAGAAGTCCTGGAGTTAACCATGAACTTCTCTCTATGTCAAAAATCTTGTGGAGTCAATTCTGAGGTAACTGTTAACAGAGACACTCGATCCATTGAGCAAGTGGAACAAATACACCTATATTTATACATGTGAGAGTGCAAACCTCTCTCAGCAATACGTTTAGTTACAGACAAAACTTTACTAAATAATTGCTGAGTTTTAAATCTCCCACCCCAAATACGCCACCACAGCCCCCTCAACTTTGGATGCAGCCACTGCACCTCTTGCTGCTAGCTCGCTAATCAGATAGCATTCWGCTGTGGAGATGTGAAAGACGTCTAAGTTCATTTTTAAAAGTGGCAGAAACAAGGTGCATTTCTTATTGGTTATGAATCAGATCGCATAGAGTGAAACCCTTTGAGGAAAATGGGGTTGATTACGTGTGCAAACTTGAATCATTTTTGCTTTCAAAAATATTACTTCAACATTGTTTCAAGTTATAACCACTTGTGATTCTACAAACTACAAAAAAAACATGAGATTTAAAAAAAAAAAAAAAAAAAAACATGAGATAAGCTTGATTTGTCATATACTGTCTCTGCACAWATTCTTAGTTTTTRTTAAATTAATTTAGATGTTTTCCACTTGATAGTGTTTTATTATTAATTTTAAAAGCTGGAAAAAGACATTTTTTAGCTCATTTTTACTTTTACTGTACATAAAGCCTTATTTAAAAAAAGGTTACATTTTTTCATCACAGTATCATGTTGTTTTCTCCACATTTCCCCCTGTGGAATTTAATGAAGAGCCCCCTCTGTTCTGGTTTGCTCTCCCAAAAGCAGCTAGTGACACAGAGGATGTTGTGCATTCCGCTGCTCCGTGTTTTGGCTCTTTCGACCCCACTGGAATTTATTTCAGAAYGGTTTTAGAGTCAGTGGAAGTAACAATTACAGCAGCTAAACGCGCTGCAGCATAAACAATAATAAGTGTGACTTTAGGATCTCACATGTTGGGACACTCAACACAAACGTGTCTGTATGAGAACAATTTTACAGTTAAATTTAACAATTTATAATTTGTTTCTTTAAAAGTTGCAGAAAGTCATCCATACATTTTCTGTCTGTTCACGCGTGATGAAGCAAAAACTCTTCTCCAGACAAACAGGACGGACACATGAGAGTTCAAGTGCTAAATGTCATGTGTGCAAAGTATAATTTGGGTGGGACTTAGTCCCGTTTCAGAATTGAGGACCCGGCTGTACAACCATCCACAATACACAACATTAAGGAGTGGACCAATGCTATATATACACTGCAGATCTGCAATCATGGTTTCTGTGTGGTCAGGGAGAGCAAGGCTGTAATCTTCTTTGTAGAGTTTGCTTCTTTGTTTTTTTCCCACTGGCAACAGGAAACTGTTAAACATGTTTATATATGAAATACTTTGAGACCCACAACTATCGATCAAGTACCGGTCTGTTTAATTCAGCTGCACTGCTGGAAAAGAAAAAAAAAAGAAATATTGATGAAATTATTCACTACTTGAAATATTTGACATTTTGTGGGAAATGGTGCATTAATGATAACATTTATGAGGATTGTTTTACTGATGAAATATCCTGTTTGTACATTACACAAGACTGTTCAGCTCAGGGAAAAGTGACTTTAGACTGATGTAATTGACACTTAATAGAAGGGTATTGTGTTTTGTCCCCCAGACACATATTCCACAATCAAGTAACTATATTACCTTCAGTTGTTGTGAAAATGCTGTGTCAAAATAATTTTGACTTTACATTATCGTCTATCTAACTGCCTTGAAATCTTTAAGAATCTCCAAAAGACCTATAAACACCACCCCACCATATATTGATGGGTTATCTCAGTAACTACGTAGATGACAATTAGAGATATTTTTGTCAATATCTGACTCAAGGCCTGACTATGGACTTTGCAAGAACGTGTGAATATAATCCATAGAAAGGAGGGGATTATCAATGATGTGAGATCATGTACGTAATTCTTTAAAATCAGTATAGCAACCACACAAACAAGGCTCCAAGTTTTCCCATCGTTCAGCGGTGAAATGTTTCTCTAGGTGAAAAAAAGTTTTATTTTAAACGAAACAACAACAAAAAACTTCTCAGTCTATTGAGCCAGCTCGTAATTCTGTTAAAGTGTGAAAAATTAGGTGGGAAAAAGTGGAGAGATTAAAAAAAGTGTCTCAGTCAATGTGTGAAAAGTAGTTTGCCCTGCTGGAACCATAACTTTGACCTTTTTAGTTCCTAATTTTTTACAAGTGAGGTTTCTCTCTTTGTGTTAAGAGAACATTGCACCTSGTTTCATGGTTCAGAGAAAAAGAAGAAGAAAAAAACATTTTAGCTGCAATGCTTGCCTAGCTGAAGAACGGTGTAACCTAATCACTCAGTTTATGACTTTCACATTTGTAGAACTCAATATTCTGTAGATAAGCATAAATACTGAATATTTATGAGCCTTTAGTCTCTCTCTGTCTCTCTCTCTCTCTCTCTCTCTCTCTCTCTCTCTCTCTCTTTCTGATGGATAACTTGCACATTCACTTCCTGAAAGATTCCAGTTTATGTTGTGGAGGACTGCACCAACTCTGTGTCACTGTCACTGTCATTTCCAGCGTACAGAATAAAAAGAACACATCAGCAAAATGTCTGTTTTTCCCTCGTCTGGTTCAGCTGGGAAAAAAAAAAACAGTCCTCATCCGTACTGTCCCAAATCGACCCTCCGTCCACACTGTTTTCTTTTACATAGATGAAAATGTCAATGAATGAGAAAAGGGTAGTTTATACACTTTGAGAACTAATTTTATTATTTTATTCCTATTTTATTCCTCATTAAAATGAGATCAGACCATGTCCTTAAAATGTCAGCATTTGGTCTTTTTGGCATCTTGTGGTTAACTGGGTTGCTTCGATCAAAAAGCCTCTACCCTCATTTCATAGCTTTTTACCCATCTTCATTTAACYCATTTACTTTTTCTTACTGTGTTTTTCCCTTTTTTTCTTTTTTTTTTGGATTGCCTTTTCCCCAGCAGAGTTTCCTTCCTTCTATTTCCCCCCACCCTCTCTCACACTGCATTATTTACAGTGTGGAAATGCCTAAAATTGCCTGCCACTACTTATTATAAGATGCATTCGTCAAGGGCATAGATTAGTGTCTGGCTCTGACAGCCCCAATGCATCTTGGGAAACACATAAGGAGGGGACACAGAGGGGAAGGGCAGGAGCAGAAGATGAGGTGGGGAGGGTTCTGCGTCCCTCTGTCCACACTCTGTGTGGAGGCATGAGGTGCTAAACGCTGGGTTATGCAGAATAACCTTGGTGGCATGCTGCAATAATGACATCACAGTCTCTGTGGAGCTGCATCGCCTGACGTCACGGCTGCTGCAGCAGGAAGAGGCTGATAYACATCGCTTATTTTTGTCCTTGTATCCTCACCGCTCTCCTCTTTTCTCCCCGCTCCATGCSTGTCTGTTGCTTCCTTCTTCATCCTCCCAGTCTCTGTAAAGCACCAATCTAGCCTTTCCTCTCAAGTATCTTTGTTCAGTTTAAACCCTTAACAGAAGCATCACAGACTGGTGCGATGCAGCTTTTCCTCTCTCTGGGATTTTTCTCTCTTATACATAATTCCTGTTTTTAGTGCAGCTTCTTTGCAAATATGTCTTTAGACACCATGTCGTTTTTCATCTTTCCCCCTCATTTTCAACCCACCTCATACTCAGATGCTCAGCAGCTGCTCACTTTGACTTTGTGGAAGAGGGTTATGAGAACATATGTGGCCACTTTGCTATGCTCTACCTTTCTTCATCTCTTCACCCTAATCCCCAGGCTTTGCTGGAGCAGCTTCTTAGGATCCCTTTGACAGTTATCCATTATTTWTAAGGAACAGGTGACCCGTCAACGTGCTGCAGTGCTTTTAAGGTTCCTCGTGCCAGCTCTTGTGCTGAATGCCACCAAACACTCGCACAAAGCCTAGATAAACAACAAAGCTCAGTAACAGCCCTCATCACCCCCCTGCCAGCTTTGCCAAGCCAGGCTATCTCCACATTTGAGCCTGTGATCAGTGAGATGTTGTACCTGTCAGTCAAAATGTCTGAGCTCTCAGGGCAGCTGTCAGCTGCTCATCAAGGCAAAGTCACTGTAGACATTTAAACAAACAACACACACACACACACACACACACACACACACACACACACACACACACACACTTCTTGAGTTTGGTATATGACAAAATGATGTTAGAGCGAGGACAGGTTTACACAAACTTCCCTTGTGAACTGCTGTATAAGGAGGGGTTTGTGTACCCGTGACCGGATGTTTGTTGTACAGTCACCGAATTGTGAAGTGGAACTGGAGGCTATAAATCTGCACAGCAACGTGGCATCTTCTCCTTCCAGTTGACCCTGACTCACATACCTCTGCACAGAAACACGGGGGATAAAGACAGTCTGCTCAAATGTACATATAATCTTCAGGCAAATGACTGAGCAAACATATTAGCTGGTACCTAAGCTGTCATCAAGAGATTACGCTTATGAGCTCCTGTAAATGATCTAAGCTTTATTTTAGTGCTATAGAATGTATGTAGGATGATGTGTTCCTAAAAAAAACCTGACCAGTTCTTATAGTTTTTAATAGTGGTTATCAGTTTCTTTTTGTTGTACGTTTCTGATTGTTTGAATAAGGTGCTGATATATTTTTTGTTGTCTTAGCGAGGTCAACTTTGTGCCTTTGTCTAATCTGTTGAACTGTATCTTCCCATAAAGGGAACTTTAAAGTCACTAACTGTCACATTGGCCCTTCAGAGGCATCACCATTGTTAAATCTGAGAAAAGGTTTCAGAGTGTCCTTAAAGTCATCATTTGATTGTGAACTATAGCTCCTGCAACGCTTCTGCTCTTCTTTCTGCTCCTGTAGTCTGTGTGAATTTCTCCTGAGTGCACATTTTACAGTCTAAGTTAGAACCAACATTTTCTTTGATTTTCATTACTTTCACCTCTTTCTCTGCCTGTGACACTTTTTCCAAGGTTGACCAAGGATCTTAGGCCATGCTTGAATATCATGGCACCCCAAGATGCATCACCCTGAACATCAGTTTCATCGTTTTTTTTTTTGTCATCTAAAGTGTCCAAGTTTTTACAAATGAGKTTTTTTTTGTTGAGGTTGACTGAGGTTTAGATGTTGCTGCCCTGAGGGAGAAGATATTTTATATTGTGACATCATTTCTTGTGTTTTTTCCTGTAGTTTTAAGGTCTCACCAGACTGTTTAAATCATTTCAGGACTGTATGGGCAGTGTTAAACCACTTGTTCCTTTTAATTTAAAATGTAAGAAATTAAATGTTGGATTTACTTAACCATGTTATGTCAACTGGTTGAGTAAATCCAAAGCGATATACCCAATTTCTAACCAAAGAACATGAGTATGTTGCTTTGAATATACTCAACTCAGTTAAGTGAAACCAGTTGACATAACATAGTTAAGTAAATCCAACATCTGTTTTTTAGAGTGTGGTTGCTTGTTTTGAACTCAAAATTGTGATTTCTTTGTGTCAGCCATTTGTTTTGGAATGTTTCTGCCCCCTGCAGTTAATGTTCTTACAGCTGGAAGTTAACCACTAAAAAGAATTATAATAAGTAAATAACACTTTGAACACAAGCATGCATTGTGCCTTTAATTGTCACAGTTGTAAAATGAAATATATAGTTTGAATGAGTAAGACATAACTTTCAGAATGACTGCAATCAGTTGTCCATTACTGATATTTTGTACCACTCAGTAATTTTAATTCTATTTGCTYGTCTCGGTGGCTCCGTAGAGAGATGTAAATCTAGTGTGGAAGCCAATAAGATGTAATTAGCAACATAATGGTTACTCCATATTGCAACATTTTCCTGCTATCATCTCTGATATATTCCTCTGAACAAAGTATAAAGTTTTGTTGTTTAGTGAACACTCTCCTCCTCTTCTTTCTGTTCACGTTGCTTCATTTAACGTAAAATATAAAATTCTAGTTCTAGTTAGTGCAGCTTTTGTTTCCCATTAATTGCAATTATTTTCATCAACACATAGTTTTTTTTATTTCTGTCATTTCTCTGTCTGCCTTGTWATCTACCGTATCTCCAGTTGAGACCTGCTGTCTGTCTGTCATGGTTTCAGAGTAGATTAAATAACATACAAGCATGGTTTCATGTTCACATGTGACAGAGAATCTTGTCCCACCTGTTGTCTACCTGCTGCACCGACTCACATTTTAAACCTTAACTTTTAGTTTCTGATTTTCCACAGAGCCAGGCAGAGGCCCATTACAAGGGGAACCGCCACGCTAGGAGAGTTAAAGGCATCGAGACCTCCAAGAGTCGTCCTCAGGAGGGAGACAAGGCACATACCATACCCCCCACTTCGTCTCCGTCTCCACCTGGAGCCCCTGGCACAGTCCCAGACTGTGAGCCTGGCAAAGCAGGTAAGAAAACACAAGAAATACTATCAAGAGTAGAAACTAATAAAGTCACTCTGTGACTCTTCATGCAGAAGTAAACATCTCAATCTACTCAGGATGTTTGGAGGATTAAAGTTTGCTCAAAAAAAAGGAAAAATGCAAAAATAACAAAGGCTTCTAAGCACAGAGGCTTTGCAGAATAAAGCTGATTCAGTGAGAAACATGTTTTAGAGGAAAAATGTGCTCTGTGTGGTCTGATTTAGCTGCAGCAGCACAAACTACAGATATCAGTGCCTGTGTATATGGTTTAATCAGACTTTTTCTTTCAGAAAATTCATATTTGAATCAAACTTTTATAAACAACAACTTTTAACACCTGATGAATACAAATTTATTTAAAGGAGACATGCTTTCAAAACATTCTTTTTCTCATTTAGCTCATTCAGTTGAGGTCTTTACAAAGTGGAACTGCAGTGCTTTGGTCTGAACTCCTCCTTTTCAGAGGTGTGTCGCAGATCAACTCATTTTGATGCTGTCTCTTTAAATCCAACAAGGGAAGACTTGTCCATAAAGTGGAAAGTTAGTTAAATCACAAAATTAAACTAAGCTTCAGTGTCACAGCTATTTTGAGTGCAACAACATTAAGAATGCCATTCCAAATATTGATTAAAAACTGCCAGTAATGACTAGAAATGTGGACTGATAACAAAAGAAAAGATAGAACCGTAGTACAAGCAGGCAAATGAAAGGACAGCAACAGCAGCTGATCTGATATTTGAAAATTATCCCCTGCTGGAAAGTTAATTGTTCAATGGGATCTGAGGTACTGCAATCTCATTCCTCAGCAGAACATCCTTAGCTTGTTCTTGTTGTCTTAATTTGACTTCATCTCTTCCTGTCTGGCGTATCTTTTTATTTTAAGGTATATCTCAAAGGCTGGACATTGTGCCCTTCTCCTCTCCCAACACAGAAGTTTCCATTCCCTCAGCTCCACCGCTTTGTGTTTGGATCAAACACTTGGCGACGAATGCATCTGAAACATTTTTGGTGACATTTACAGAGGTTCCTATCGCTGAATATTTACCAGACATTTTCAACCTATTGATGGCAGACCACAAAGCAAACACTGCAGATGAAAAGAAACAGTTTTTTAAGGCAGTCATGCAAGAACAAAGGCCTCAGCATTTCTTGTACTTTCTTCTCACTGGTGCCAGAAAAGTAAAAGTCCCGGTTCTTTTTGGTCTTTTGCCTAACAGCGGATCGTGGCATCAATACTAAATCAAACCTCATTACTAAGAGTCCCTGAGACAACCTCCAAGTGTGCAAGGGACCAAAACCAGTCTGCCACAGTTTAGATCTGAAAGTAGAAACATGTGAAAGAATGCCTTTTTCCATCCAAGCCTTGTTCTCTTGACCCTGGAACCTTGCCTCCTCCTGATTTTGTAGCAAGCATGCTTGCTGGTGTGTGTGTTGGTGTGTGAGTTTTGGTCGTCGACTCAACGGTGGTGGGACAAATCTTTGGAAGCACGCAGCTGTGCTTTGCTTCAACTGGGACAGCATTGTCTGGGGACTGACACTGTGGTTTGGGATACGGTATGGAAATTTTGTCCTTAGAATGATCACAACAAAGAAACGCTGCGTTGGTCACAACTTTTTAACAAACGTTGACAAGCAATACAGTYACACCTAAGGATGGAGCCGTGAATTTCCCACAGAGGAAACAAAACTCAGTACAGCAGYATTTGTTGCTGACATTGAACATTTTTTTTCTAAATTGGAAGTGTTCTGATACATGCAAACGTAAACCTAGTGACCACTGTGAGTGTTGTGACCTTATTTTTGTGATCTATCACTTTTTATTWRCACACCAAAACATCCAATCAGATGTGATAACCATGAACATGACATACTGTATTGAGACCTTGCTGAGGGCTGAATTTGAGAGAGGATATGGCATGAGTCCTGTTGCCTCTTCAGCTGTATAATTCTCAGAGTGAGTTTTATGACCCTCTAAGGGTTTGTGGTTGTTGTCCCCAAAAAGGAGGTCCTTGTGAGGGATTTSAACTAGTGAGGACAAGGAGTTTGGCTGATTTTTCTTGCCCCCCGTCCTTAAAAAAAAAAACTCTTTCTACAGTCTGACACTCCCACTTTAATGAAGGGCCACGTTAAAACCACTCTGACATTATGGCACTTTGTAGTCCACACAAACACTCCCAGGCCTCATGCACACACCCAAGGTCAGTTAAACAGATGTCTTTCATGTGATGACTCGGGTTGCACGTCAGGGAGCTGACAGTGTAGAGTTACACAGAACTGATGGTCTTTCATGCGGGATTTATTAATAGTCTTAGGGTTTTTTTTTTAAATTTCCAATTCTTTTTTTTTTTTTTTTTTGTTTTGTGGTTTGTTCAAGAAACCTGAAACAACAAGAACTGATTAACACAACATGAGCTGTATGACTTGCAGGTGTGTGTATGCATGACTCGGGGTTTGAATACAGAGCAGTTGGAGAAAATGCAGCAAATGCATAATGAATGTGGGATCAGCATTGGGTTTCGAAGCTGTTCAATCATTAAGAATGGCCATGATGGTGGGACTGGTGGCAGAAACACACCCAGACTCTCCTGTCTAATTATAGCTTTGTGTCTACAGTATGTGTATTTTGTTCTTTAAACASTAATGCAACTTGTTAATTTCTATTTCTAACTTGTAAAATGTAAAGTAAACAAAACATTTACCTCACTGCTTAATGTTCTTTCCTTGCACATTTTTTACAACAATAACTGCACTTTCAAYTTCTTTATTATAACAACAAAAATGCTTTGTTCTGCTTTTGGCAACACATTATATTAAATTATTTACAATCTGCACATAATGAGGAACATTTACTTACGAGGGCACCCAGTAATTATTTGTTTTTACCTAGTTTTACAAAGTTTTGATTAAAACAGCTGGTTTAGTCAACAAAACCTTTTTACCCAGGATTGGATTCTATACATACTGTAGCTCTAATTTCCTGAAGTGGATTAAAGGCCGTACAGACTCACTAGGCTCAAGTGTAAAGCATCTGGATTGAGTTATCCCCCCTTTGTGACCTCTCCCCATTAATAATAACTTCTTATGTTTGGCCATGAGGGAGWAAGGTCACTTAGCTGCTTTGTAAATGATTAATTAGACAGAATATCTAGAGTTTTGGGAGAGTCYGATAACTCTGACAGGGAGTTTCTTAAGCAAGAAAACCATAGATCTTTGTTTGTGACCATGTTAGAGGATACAGGAAAGCCTTTATCATGTGGTTCATTTTACCAACCTGTTAATATCAGCCGTATGTTCAAACTGAACTTATTTCATAGGGAATTCACGCAAAATCTGTTAAACACTTATGGCCATCAAGGGTTAGGGATTTTCTTATTATTATTTAGAAGACCATTTTTGGTTTCTCAGTTTTTTAACCAAACCATTTGTTGCTCTCTGTATTAGTGAAGTCACCAAGAAGTGTGTGTCCTACTGCTCTTTGATCACAGATTACCTCATGCCACAAAGTCTGAAAAAAATATTCCTTTTTACTTTTTTTATCAACACATCTGTTTGGCAAATGTTCTATGCAGCCAGCAGCTCAGCAGCTGGAAGCTTCTAAAATACAAAAATTAAAGGATAAAAAAAATACTGTTTCATCTTGGAAGAGAGTGAAATGGAAAGCATTTACAATGGCATCTTCACCAGAGATGATGCAAGGATGTAACCCATCCAAAATGTCACAAGTTTAGTGTGGAAAGAAAAAAAACGTACTGTAACCTATTGGCAGTCGGGTAAAATAAAAAAAATAAGATGACAATTCTTGCAATGATAGGCTGTTTGGATTAATCTTTATTTACTTTCCAGAAATACCACATGGCATTTTTAAAAATACTTTAATCCAGTGAGGCTTTCTGCTGCCTAGTTTAGGCGCTGTGTCGTGTGGAGTTTGGATAAAGACCTCCAAGTCCCTGCTAATGGRGAGTCAGAATATCCCACCCAAATTTAGGGTGAACATTTTCAGCACTCACTATTTAGTGAATACCAGAATGGGAGTGGCTGATCAGAAACACATGTCTGGAAACATACAGTATGTATGGACATCATATGTGGTGAAAACTCAGTAAGTAGAAAACATAAAGAGCATCGGGAAAAGTCAGAATAAAGTTACATTAATGATATTTTTTGGACCCCCTGAGATGAACCAAGACATAGCCGGTGCCATTACTGTTTCACTCCACAGCCAACAACAACAGGTGCTTTTGGCAGGAGTCACAACACTCTGTGGTGTCTGTTTTCTATTTCCTCCCTCTTGGAGGCGTTTTAATTCAATGAGACCACATCAATGAAAGATGAAGCCTGCAGACAGATTAACCGCATGCTTTATGCACAGCGGCCATACATTTTCCCTCCCTGAACCACTATCTTAGATTAAAAGGATTTTTTTAAACCAAATTCTTTATGTCCTACAACACAGTGAATAAAAGTTCTGTTTGTTGTTTTGTCAGATCTGTGAAGCAGCACATGTTCTGGGAGTGGTTAACAATGTGGTTATGTTTCACAAAACTGTATCTCCAGGGGAAATTTGTGTGACTGTTTAGCACATTTAAAGCAATAATAAAGCAAATTACTGTTTCACTTGTGGCATGTTAGCTCTGTAAAGTCAGTTTAATTAATTTTTTTTTTGTTCTTTTGTGCTTTCTGTAATGCTTTTTTTCCAGACGAACCACGGCCTCTGTCACAGTTAAATGAGGCCTTATTAGCTCCAGGACCCCTTCCGTCACTACCAACACCACCCACCCCACCCATGGACTCCCCCGTCCCCTCAGTGTGCCCTCTCCTTCCTACCCCGACTCCCTCTCTGGTCCCCCCAACCTCCTCCTCCCCAGGCTGCGGCAGCACCATCAGTCCAGAGCAGCCCGGATCTGGACCGCAGGTTTCAGGAGCCGCCGGAGCCTCGGCCTCCAGCAGCCCGTCCCACCCAGAGACCGAGGAGGACAAGGCCAAGAAGCTGCTGTACTGCTCGCTGTGCAAGGTGGCTGTCAACTCCCTGTCACAACTAGAGGCCCACAACAAAGGTGGGTCCTCTGTGAGCTATACTTTCCAGAAATAAACTCAAACCACTTGGGTTTGCCTATGAGGTAATCCTCCTCGGTTCGTGTGTGAATAAAGTTTCTGTAGATTTCTCCCACATGTTTTCATCCCTTGTTGGAATTCTCTCTGTTTACTCAAACCGTCCTGTTTCTGTTGGATATGTGAAACCCGTATCGTAATTTTGTGTGTTTGGGAATTTGGCCAAGAACCACACACACAAACACTTTTAAAAGATTATGATTAAAATGCATTTCGAAATTACGCCAACCCATGAAGATATTTGTTCTCTTACAAAGCAAAACAGGACTCAGATTAAAAGTGCGACACCAGGGGGCACTAAACAAAACACCGATCAGCAGATAAGTGATCTGTCTCACATCAACCAAGCACTGCTTTCATGGTTTGAGCAGCTATGCAAAAGCACTTTAGCTTTTGGGTTTTTTTTGCATGCAAACTCAAACCCTGATAATTCACAAGCTTGAGCTTTTCTGACACAAACAAACTAAATGTGGTAATCTTCTCCCAAAACCACAGACTAACAAACTTAATTGTCATTTGCCACATGTTTCAGCAGATCTTTCATGAGTTGGATGGYTGAGTTTCTGGATTGGGAAGTCAAACAAGAATGTCAGCAAAAACATGGCTATTATGTAGAAAACATGAAGTGTTTGAGTCAAAAGTTTCAATGCATTACTCTGAACACGAGTGAGACATATAAAAATACAAAAATACAAAAAAAAAATACATGGGAGGTCACAGCGTACAGTACAGTGATTGATTCAGTCTGTGCTTGTTTTCAGTGATGAACCAGACATGACAGTACCCAGCAAGTGGCTCTTATTATTGGGTAAACAATAACAGTGTGATCACTGTCACCAAGAATTAATTATTTTTTTTGTTTGTACAGCTTTCTAACAGCATATGAATGAACATGTAAATATTTACTAACACACACACATTAACTTCCCTGCGTGGTCTTGGGTCACATACGACTGCTCGTGTCCAAAGTTCAAGGCCAGGAGAATGAAAAGTTCAAACRTTTGACACCGAAGGCAATCTGGAAACAATTACCCTCACTCGCTCTCAAAATCAAAACTGTTTGCAGGGTTTAAAAATAAGAGCATATGTCACGCAGACACCGAGGCTCGAACAAGCGTGCGTGGCAGAAAACCCGCTGCCAAAAACATGCAAAAAAAAAWAAAAACGTCTATGTAGAAAGAATGTTATTTCAAGATTCTGGGTTTCTGTTAGCTCATTTCCTCTTTCTTTTCACCATTATAAATTGTCCACTTGTGTGCTGTTTACACGATGAGTCACACTTGCGCAGAGCTATCATAAATATTCAAACCAAAATAAAACTGTTAGCACATCTTTGGCCACAGATAAATCCTAACAGTTCTGTCTTTTTTATCCTTTATGACACCTCCGTATCCCCCTTCAGTCCCCTGTTCACACTTGATTTAGTCATCTTTGGTAACCTAAGATGWGTTCAAAGAGATTTTAGAGAATTCATCTTTCAAAGTCATTTCAGTGACTATTGAAGGATTTTCTTAGCTAATGGATGGGCCAAGCAGTATAAGAGTAGGGAGTACTTTAGCACCCAAAAGCAAAATGTGTGATTATTGACTGAAAACCTTTCCTGGAACATTTTTTATAATGTAGTATGTGTTTTTCCATGCGGTCTGTTTTATTCATGCATTAGGGGGATTTGTGTTGCAAATATCAGAGAAAACTTGGGGTAAAAAAATAATCAGCTTTAAGTTGTTTTGATGCTAAGAGAAGATAATTATCAGTCAGAGTGTCAAACTACTGAGAGTTCAAACATCATTTGACAATGTTGTGAAATAATTTATGACAAACGAGTATTTTCTGACATAGCTCTGTCATTTTACTGAAATGTGTGGTTGACATCATAACCTACAGTGCAGTCTATGAGCTTGTTCAACCAAAACATGAAGGATAAGTTGCTATGGCACCAACKTAAGTGGGTTTTATGGGCTCATCTTTCAAATGACAACTCCGTCTCACGACTGCTCTCTTGTGGTGCAAATTTAGCTCTACAGTTTTTTGCTTCTGTTACAAATTCATGGGTATTTACTGCAGGAAACATTTGGTTGTTTAAGTTGTTCTCTGTTGTGTCGCTACTGTCATAGTTTCTGCAGTTGTGGTGTGAGCTGCAGACTAATACTCTCCAGTCTCATTTAACACCAGATTGATGAAAGCAATATGACTTCAAATATACCACAAATGGTAATTTAACTGAATGTGTTGCTTCTTTCTTTTCCATGTCTCTTGCTTCACAACATTAATGAACTGATTTGTTTTTATCTGTCCGCAGGTACTAAACACAAAACTATCCTGGAGGCGCGGAGCGGGCTGGGCCCCATCAAGGCATACCCTCGTCTGGGTCCAAAGCCTAGTGGAGAGCAGGGAGGGGGGCCAGTGGACCCCAACACTCAGGAACGAACCTTCCACTGTGAGATCTGCAACGTGCGGGTCAACTCAGAACTGCAACTCAAACAGGTTCGAAGATTTTTTTAATGCTTAATTTTGAAGAAAGTTTTTTATTGATTGTCAACTCCATTTGATTAGAGTAAGTTAGCATTGCAGGAAATATTGTTTTTTATTGTTTCTGTTTGATGTTTCTTCAAAGTCTGAATGGTAGATACTAAATAGTTAATCATTATTTAAACAGATGTCCTGAAAGTAAACACTGCATATGGCAGCTTGACAGCTCAGTGGTTCAATCCCTGGTTTGGACCTGGGGTCTTTTTTGTGTGGAGTTCGCATGTTCTCCTGGTGCTTGTGTGGGTTTTCTCCAGGTACTCCGGTTTCCCCCACACCACAAAAACATATACAACAGGTTGCCTTCAGGCCCAGGCCTCCTTTGAAAAAGAGATCTGTGATGGTTAAACAATKATAAAATAAATTAATAAAATGAAGAAAAAAATAACTAAACTCAAAGCTAAATGATTAAAAACAAATTTTAGGTTGTGCCTGTTATTGGATTTTTGAAGCATCTACATGCATTCAGACAAAGACAATCATAAAACAATAAATGCTATTTCTATTGTGCCTTTACGTAAACTAGTACAATAATTTAATATCTGCTTGCATTACTTTTTCCACTATTAAAGTCAAAAGAATTGGACTAAATCCATACAATGAATAATTTTAGAAAAATAAGTTTTACTTAGATCAACATAYGTATAGAGTGTTACTGTGACCCCGAATCTAAATATTGTTAGGTTTTAAATATTATCAATTAAACAAAATGACTCAATTCTGATGTTTTTGCATGGCTGCAATATTTTTACTTGTGAATAAATGAAGTTAGACCTTCCTTGTCTAATARGTTTGTAACGAGATTATATTAATTATAGTATAAACATAACTAATGAARAAAATGTTAAAATTAGACTTTTCTGTTTCTTATTTTTAGCACATATCAAGTCGAAGACATCGGGATGGCATGGCAGGAAAACCTAACCCCCTCCTCAGCCGACACAAGAAGCACAGGGGAGCTGATCTGACGGTAACCTTTCCAGTTACGCCACCGAATTCTGGCTCCTGTGACACTGTTCACCAACCTGAGACCCACTGAGCACATAAATATTAAACACTTTAAGTCATGAGGTCTGCGAGGCCTTTGAGATGATTTGATCCTAAAAACCTGTACTAGTTATTGTTTCTTAGGCTGTGTCCTCCTCAAAGATACAAAAAAATGAATTTCTATTTTCATATTTGTTYAGCCTTTTAAAACTAATCGTTGTTTACGCTCTCCTTCTTTTTCTTCRCTTTCTGTTTGTAGTCTTCTCTGACCTTCTCCAAGGATCTCACCAAAGCTCTGGGTGCGGGGCTCTTGCCCAGCCCGTTGGCCGTTGCGGCAGCGATGGCGGCCGCAGCRACCTCGAACCCGCTGGCTCTGCGTGCAGCGGCGCCCGCTCCCCACCCGCACCCTCACCACCTCTTGCAAGGTCCGCCTCTCAGCCACGCTATCCTGAGACCTGCTCCTGGGCCAATCCGCACTGCCCACGGGCCAATCCTCTTCTCTCCTTACTGACGCATCGTCCTGTTTCTCCAGCCAGTCAGGAAGCTTCTACTCCAAAAAAAGCACACTGTGAAGCTACAAAAGTGATCAGCGAAAAGCAACTGATAAGTGGGGGGCAAAAAATAAATCTAATAATTTTAACATCAAACCAATAGAATAGCAAAGGAAAGGAATGGTGTAACGGAGTATTGTGTCTTTTTTTTCCCTTTACCTGAGAATCTCCATTCACTCGACCTTTTGTTTCAAAAGACTTGATGGATCAGTAAATGGAATTAGAGAAGAAAAATTCATCATGCATTGGACTCTCTTGTACATTTTTCATCTCTTCCCGGTTCCTTCCTTGCACTTTGGCCATATTGTGGTCACCTCAGTATACAAAAAAAAAAAAAAAAAAAAAAAAAAAAAAACATGCAGATCTTTCTAGAAACTTCAAACCTTGCATAGTGTTACATAATTATTCTGGGGAGTGGGGTGGGGGTGGTAGGTTCCCCTGTTGTCACGGCTCAACGTGTTCTTCTCATCCTATGCACCTCAGAACAACAAAACTTAAAATAAGGAACAAAAACAAGACAATAATGTTATGTCAGTAGGGTAGCTGCTTCCACTGGTCTTTGCTGTATGCACCTCATGTAGCCATGGCCGCCTCCAAAGTACTGTATACGTCTCGCTCTGCAGTCAGCAGCTCTTCAGTTTGTGGCGCTATAGGCCCTCGCTAGATGCAACATGACTTTTGCTGACAGGCAGGTGGTACTCACATCCGAACGTGTCTGTTTGAGCTCAGAAAAAAAAGGGTGGGGGGCTTTGATCCGGGGGGTGGTGAGGATGGTTGCACTCCCCTCTGTCATTCCCTGGGGAGGTGATGGGAGAGGAGGGCTGGCACAGGATGGATTGACCACAGGCAGCATGCAGACGTACTAAGTTCTGAACAAATCTGCGTTTTAAAATAGATGCCAACAAAAACTGCTAYGGGGCACATCTGCCAGCTTTCATAACAGTCAGAGAAAGACCTCAGCAAAGGCGAAAGTAGACACCAGAAGTCACACATTGTTACGTGCTGTGCTGCTGTGTTTTATACATGATTTTAATGTTCCACTTAGACAGAGTTCAATGGAGAAAAACAGCTATGGTATTTTGAAATACTGCATTAGAGAGAGCAATTTCGRTATTTCCGCCCGTGGTCTTTGTTCTCAGGCTGAGTTAACACGTAGGTGAGCAGGTGCGACTGAAACGTGACCCTATGTTCTGATGTATTTTGTGTTGTTTCTGCATGCATCCTTGCAATGAGRATTTTTTTCAGGGACGAGCTTTCACAACACTGAGTTGACCCCCCACCCCTTTCATTCCTTGTGCAGTCCTCCTACTCTTCACCTCGCTGATGTCCAAAGGTTTGTTCGTRCTCGGTTTTTAGAGAAAGTGTGTTGCGGGAAGAGCTGAAAGGGAGCAAGGTGAAAAGCAAACATACTCTGAGAAATGAGCTTGAGTCGGAGTGACAACCGAGCCAGAAACCAAGGGGAGCTGCGGAGAGCGGAGACGCCCAGCTCGAGGCAACCTATTGATACTTCCTGTCTTATAACTGAAAGCCATGAAAYGCACCATGATTTGTTTTCCTTTGCAAAGACTGGTGAGCACTTTGTTCTTATTTTGGTTTGGACTGTTGATTTGTGTTCTTTTCGCACATTTAACAAAAATAAAGAAATGAGCAAAACACATCAAAACTATTTTTGTAGGTAGGAAATGTTAATAACCTCATTCATGAAGGGAACCGAAGAAAGGCAGTACACTTCTTATAAGTAAGCTACATAGACTGATAACCAGTGGGGAGCCACAAAGCTAACCAAGTAACGGCTGACTCGTTTTGCTCGACAGTGTGAAACTAACACCCCTTTTTTGAACACGATGTACACTGTGCCCTTTCATGGAGAAGCAATGAGCTCTAATGTCTTACCTTCGTCTGAATATTGCAATGCAATGAGCAATTTTTATCAAAGTGACTTGTTTTCATTGTGACATTGTTGTCTGGAGTCGTGTGTAWACTGGGAGCATGCCAGCTGACAGAGTTTTCTTTTCTTCCATGAGGAGTTCAGGTCCTCTGTAGGTAGATTAGGTACAGAGGAACTGCTTGGCACGGGGACCGACCCTTCATATTAAAGGGCCTTCTTATTGAGGGATTCTCTGCTTTGGGAACAGGGTACATCACCAGAAACCAAGGGACTACAACCAGATGACGTTGATGCCGTTTTTGTTGTTGTTTTTTTTATTTAGATTATCTGAGTTGCATTATTATTATTATTATTTTGTTTGTTTGTTTGTGAGAAATGTGTCGAAGTGAAAACCCAGAGGAACATTATCAATGCCATTACTTAAAGAAAAAGCTGGCTTAGTGTCAGCTTCCACCATTGTGCTCTTTTTTTTCTGTTTGATGCTGTTGTGAAAAGTGATCTTCCGAGTTCATTTAGTGAGTGAGACACTCTTCCAGAATTAGTGCTTGCCTTCTTTTTGGCGTGTACCACTCTAGTGTGTCCTGGGATTTGCCCTTTGACTCCCCCACCCCAAACAACACCCCAATGAGAGGCAACCTGAATCCATTAAATAAAAGTGTCCCATCATGTTTGGGTTTGGTGGTGAATCAATCAATAACCAAGAGTTTAATCAAAATAGATTGGTCAATAACCCAGCCTCAACAAAGCATCCGTTTGATTGGTCAGTTGCGTAGCACCACTGATAAGTTCAAAATGTTGATTCATCCTCATTGTTCAAATTTGGGAAGTAAATATCAGATTTTCAGGACCTCTGTTAGCTACGTTTAGGCTTCTGCAGCCTTAGCCTTATTCTGCCCTCATTCTCTCTCAGAGCCGAGAGAGAGAGATGATGAGGCTACAGTGTGATTATGTCTTGCCAACAAAGTTATTTTTGAACTTCATTGTCAGAGGGGTAAAGAGTTTGTATGGCGAATTGTAGCAATACCTGACTCATTCTGGCTACTCTTGTTTATTGCAATAAGAAAATGAACTAATAAATGTGTATGTGAGTAAAACATTAATGTAATTTAAATGAAAAAAATGATACTTTATGGTAAATACTATTGGTATCAAGCAAATCATGATGGAAAAAAAGTTAATGTCAATAAATCATTAAATGGCATCGTTTGTGGCTTTTTTTATCAATTAATTCACATGTCTTGTGTTTTTTTTGTCATAAATTATGAACAAAATCACACTCGTTGATCATATGCATGTAGTTCAAAGTGCATTATTGCGCAAATGAATTATCCCTTAGAACATGCTGTATGTTGCAGCTACATTGTGTGAAAGAAAAATCTAGAAAAACTTTTTTTCTTTAAATTGATTAAAATATTTGGCTATTTTTTGTAAATTGGTGTTATGATCCCTTTAATATTTCAGCTTAGGTTTGAAGCAATCATAAAACAAATTTAAGAAATGAATAGTAAATGCATTCCACAAGTGTTTACTATCATGATATTAATTCATTATTATTAAATCAATTGTAGATGCTGCTTTTTAATGCTTGCAAATAAAAATCTAAAAGTTTAAAACTAGATTTAATCCAACTTGTTTACTCATTTTGAAGGAGTTCCAAAATGATGACCAGAAATAGCAACAAAATTATTTTTAAATTCAAGCTAGTTTTTAGGTGACACACGAACAATGTTTTTTGAATTGATAAAATTTCTCTTTTGTTTAGTAATCTTAACATTTTAAACAAATGCTTTTCATTATAACTTTTAAACAGTATTTCAGAAACAAATATTGACCAAAGTTCAGCCCATGTAAAGGAGAAAGTGTAAAACTTTGCAACAAAGTAAAATAATGTTATAAATGATGATCTGTATTATTTTAAATATCAATGTAAAAGTAGTAATAATAGCAAATTCTGAATTATGAGACGATTAGTTGATACAAACTGAATGCCGACACATTTTTTAATATTATAGGACCATCTTTATGACATAACACCTGCTCCTTTCAGCATATATATTAAGGCTTTTAGATTGAAACTTTTCCTCTATTGTTTTTTGTTTTTGTTTTTTGTTTTTTTTTGCACTATTCAGAACAGTTTGCAGTTCTTCATGAATAAAACCTGCTCTGCACTGAACGAAGCAATTTAAACAACCAGAAGCAGCTAACTGAGCCTTCTTTGTACTGCCTGATGAAAAGAAGTATTGTACTCTCTGTGAAGCATTACTGAACAACGTTTGTTTCACTCTGGCCGTTTTACCACATTCCCTGACAGAGACATGGCAGCAGCTTCCTGCAGTTATACACAACAAATCCACTAGATGGTCCCACTGTGATAACTGGGAAACCAACGAATCTAAAAAGCAAGCGTCATGGCTGTTAAGAGCTGTGCACCAAAGCTGACTGTACTTCAGTACAATAAAAACTGAATCTGAAAAGTGTTGCATACTGATCTGAACAGAACAGGGCTGAACAAATACAGCCCTCTGCTTGCAGCAGCACTTCCAGATCTGCACAGAAGAGCCACAGACAAACGAGACAGATGGTTGCTATGTTATCAACGACATTGTAAAGCTAAATGAGCCRTACAATTTGCAGCCATTTAAGATATAAAAGGGGAAGAAAGATTGTTACGCGGTTGGTATGCTTTTATAAAGTGCCGCAGTCTTGGATAATTATTTTTTTTCATAAGTTCTTACATGAACTCTTGGAAGATTTTCATTCTCAATTCCAAAGATGGGAATGTGCAAACAGAAACAAAATACCTTCACAGGCTATTTTATCTGTTTTGTCATTTTATAATGTTGCAGTTTAGAAAAGGCAACTCAAGCTTTAGTTGTGCTGAAAGTTAGATAATTAAAAGAAATTAAGATGCTGATTTTGATTTCGGATGTTTACAGCTTGTTCTAGATGCACTGAATATAAAACAGAGAAAACAGTTTGCTCACTATCTGTTTCTATTTATTCCTTGTTCAGTCCTTTTTTAAGCTGGAGCTTAATGGCAGGGCTTGTTTTGCAGCTCTTGAGAGCCACATATATGTATGACATGATGAGATCACGGTCAGACATGAGTGGTAAAATGGAAACTGAAGAGGCAGGGACACGTACCTGAACTCTTCTCTGAGTGAAAATCTGCAGCTGAGAGGAATAGGTAGATTTTGTGGGATTTCACTCTTTTTCACTACCTTCTTATTTCTACAAGTTGTCCCTGTAGCTTTTTGTGTCGTACAGCAATGTGCCAATGTTATGATTTGTGTCTGTGTTAATGTTTTATTTTAGTTTATGTCTTGTCATCTTTCTTCCTCCTGTTCGCCTTTGCTCCAGCCAAAGGAAAGTTGTGTCAGGAGGAGATGTGGACCCAAAAATGCAAAAGTCAAAAAGGCAGTTGTAAGAGCCCCCACCCTACCCGCAAAAAAAGACTGAATAACAAAAAGTGGCAGTATTTCAGTAAATTACTAAACTTGATATGATATATAAATGAAGGGAATGCAACAAGAAGCATAAAGCAACAAAAGACGAGACCAAACACACTTAGGGAGAGGTGATTACTGATTGCAAACAGGTGAGTCCTCCAAATGAGGGACAGGTGTGAGAGAACCTGCGGGGGCTGTGAAGAAGTTCTGAGTGAAGTAAGAAGAAGACACAACGAAACACACAAAAACCAAACAAGAAACTGAACTCAGCAAACAAATCCAACACAAAAAAATCCACAATCTTTTTAAACTGATCTGTTTTACCTAAACTGTTTTTTTATTTATTTGTTATTTTATTTTTTATATCTCATGATAGTAAAAAAGTTTCAGAGCTTTAAAGAGCAGTGGTGTTTTCTACCGATTACAAAGTGTCATCAGGAGATGTGCAACAATTATTAAGACATCATCACCTTAAAGCAGGGGTGGRCATTGAGGACCACAGCCCTGCATGTTTTGCTTGTTTCTCTGTGCCAACACACCTGATTTGAATGAATGGTGATTATCAGGCTAATTCAATGACTGAATCAGGRGTGTTGGAGAAGGGWAAATGTTCAACGTGCAGGGCTGAGGCACTCAAAGTCCAGGATTGCCCACCCCTGCCTGCCTTAAAGGGATAGCTCAGTTCTTTTGAAGAAGAGGTTTTGTTAAAAATTCACGAACACTCAATATCCCACCTAMTGTAGATATCGCTTTGAAAGACCCAAGTTCAGAGAAAGTGTTTAATTCTGAGTGGACAGATGAGCTGATGGCTAGTCAGAGAGTGGCCAAGGTTGCACACATCTTAAAAAGAACTCCAGTTTAAAACATTCACAAAAGCTCATGTAAACACTATTTAAAATCTTTATGACAYCACAGAGTTTGCATTGCAGAGCTATTTGCATCACAGTTGTTTGCAAGTGCATATAGAGGTGGCAGTCCAGACATAGTTTCAGAGAATAATGCCTTCTTTCTTCTCATAACATGAAACTCCACTAATCTCTCAATAGATCCATAACTGTTTTCCTTTACACAAACTCACTGTGAACAAAGAGACTGTAGAAATAAGCTGTTCTTCAGCAGTTCCACACGCTGTGTTGCCAACATCTCTGAATAATAGTCTCATGCGTGAACTTGTGTGCWGTTAGTGCTTTTGACAGATCTGCTCTAATGCACCCCCATCCAACCTCTGATGCCGGCTGGAGGACCCGGCACCTACAACAAGCCAGATGGTGCCTCGCTCTTTCTGCATGGAGGAAGTGGCATCTATAATTTCTAAAAATAATTTATAATTGCGATTTACAATTTTCAAATCAGTCAGAGGCACAAGAACACAGCTGAATGGTTGTGTCTTTTCTTACAGAAAAAAAACACGTTGAGAATGTTTCAAAATCACACGAGAAAAACATGAGTTGAGTGATGCACACACGTCACATGTTCTGTGATGTGTGTTCCTCCAGAAGGTGTTTGTCTGTGTTTCTGTATGTGTGTGTGTGTTTGTGAGCTGCATGGGTGTGTTTGTCTGCTACCAAAATATTTCCTAAATCAGTGAATATATTTTAATAAAACTCCTGAATTAATCTATAGCTGCACATTTGCAACTGATTAACTTTTGGTGTCAGTTTCATTCAAGGTGGCCACCATGGCTCAGTGACCTTGAATAACACAAAAGGCTGTAACTCAGTCGATATTTATAACATTGAGCTAAAATTTGGTGAGGTAGTCATTGAGAGACATCCTCAGCTCATACTTTGAGTGCTAACTGTGTGAGATCTTGAAATACTACAACAGATTGTGTATAACATTACTTTGCCAGTTTTAAACGTGTGCGTGAAGTCAAGGAGTGCTAGGCCTTTGTGTTTTCACTGTTTAAAACGTGATTTTCACATGTACATTTGAATTGTTTTTATTTGCAAAGGTAGTTTTATGTGCTATTTGCTCGCTTTGAGTTTGAGCTCCATCTGATTTTAAGAGGTGTTCCTGTGGCCAAGCCAATTCTGTGAAATCGGCCTGTTTTCAGTGAAGCACAAGGACTAAAGGATCATGGCCAGCCTGTAGTTTTCTGTCTTTTGTGTACAAATCTTTCTCTATATTTTTGTATCATGTTACCTTAGAAAAAAAAGAAAAAGATTAGTAATTTTATTGTATAATGAGAAACACTGTAAATTATTCATTTTTTGCGGCAAACTCATTTTCATGAGATATTTTCTCAGCAAATACAGTACAGTAGAGGCCATTTGTGCTGCACAGGCTGTCCTCTGTTTCAAACACGAGGTGAGCACGACTAATCGTGTGATCAGGATGCAAATTGTAAAAAGCTCCATCTGATTACACATTAGACACAGAGCGAGGACAGCAGGACACCCTCAGTTATGTTCTGGCTGAGGTTAATTCAACTGTGTGCTGTCCTGTCTGCTTCCACAAACATGAGGCAGCAGGTTCAGGTGTAACAATGAGGAGATAATTAAGACAAAGAAAGCACAGTGGAGCAAACAAGCCTGTGTTGTCATTTCCTTAAGTAGTTGAAAATTGGGCTGAGACCAAAATGTAACCGTTGTTTCTTTCATATGCGCACATTTTTGATGTGATAAATGACGGTGCCACTGCTTCGGTTTGTTACACCTGAGTATAGATCCTCTGAAATACCAGGGTTGGCTCAGCAGCTCAGAGGAAAACAGCTGTTTCTCATCAGCATTAGCTTATTTATTTCAAATTG